CCCGAACTATTGACTTTTGTGCTCTGGAAATATCAATTTTTGTATTGACCAAGTGAACAAAGTCACCCGACTGATCAAAGTGACCCCGGTTGATGGTACCTTTCTTTTCCGCGTTACCTTGATCTCTTGTTTTTTTTATGTTTGTTTGTTGATTTCGGGGCATTTGGTGCCTGTTTTGTTTTTTTGGGAAAGGGAAATGTAAGGGAATTATGTATTGGGTTTGAATCATGGGGAAAATGTTAGAGCATATGTCAGATTTGATAGCTTCATTTTGTTTGACCTTTTTTAAAACTTGGTGTTTAGGAATTAGTGTTTTAACCCAATGACGCCGGGTGTACTAAAGGAAAATAAAACTCTACGCTCTGGCAAACAAAGGCAGCGCGCCGACTTTGAGCGCAGGAGTACGGGGCGTCAGCCCGAATCACTGGCTCGCCGCGCTTTGGCGCGCCGCCGGCTGGTTTGGCCGCACGCCACCTTTCGAGCGATTTGTTTACACGCGTATCGCCGTCACCCGGCGGCAAGGGGTTAAGGGTATTTCAACGGTCAAACGGACATAGGATCAGTGGTATTTCCTTTCTTTATTTTTTTTGTGAGATTTGAATGTGATATAAGTTTCTCAAAATTTTATCATATGTCATGTTATAGTTAGCAAAATTAACTATTGCTTTTTGCATTCTTCCATCTCTAAATGGATTGGAATACACAGCTTAGTGGATAACAGATAAAGGCATAGTCAAATTATGCATTATTTTTTCCTTTTAGAAAGAAGCCTGTTATTTATTCATTTTCAATAGAGGCCAAAGTTATATCAGTTAATACTGTTTTTATCAAAGATGATAAATTTTCAAGGATCTAGATTTGATATGTTATTTATATGATTTTATTAAATTCCATAGCAAAACAAGAAAATGTTTAAACACAATTATAGGGTGATCACTACTGAAATCATAGGTTTTTATTATTTTTTTTCTTTTTATACTGATTACCTCTTCTTTATCATAACTAAAAAAGCCTGCAATGTATTTTGTGGTGGTTAGATGTAAGGAATCAGAAATTGTTTCTCAAATTTCTATTTCTGTTATAAGATTTTCTAACAGGTGGTTAAGTCTTGGGCCTTTGCACATTACCCCAAGATGAAAGTATTATTCCAGTTTATTCCATTGGTTATGATTATAAATAAACATATATATGTGTGTGTATGAGTGTGTGTGTGTGTGTGGGGGGGGTGTAGGTGTGGGTGGGTGTATGTACATATGTAATAAGTAATATCTAAGAGTAAAAATGCTATAATATTCAAACAAGCAAAATAACTTTCATTAACATTTCCAAAACAGAAAGTAGTTATGCAAATTACTGTATCCTATCGTTTCCACAGATAATCGGCTCTTTGAGCAGAGTGAATTATTGAGAACAGAGAACCTACAGCTAACACTTCAAAATGAGAAACTTCGTCAGGAGAACTCAGACCTACACAGTAAAGGAGCTGGAGGGGATGGGGGCAGTGGAACCGGTTCTGCTGCTGCGGGTGCCTCCTCGCAAGTGGTTCAGGTTTGTGGAACCCATAAGGTGAAAGAAAGCTTTGTATGAAATAGATGCAACTAGATTAGGTTGTTAACCCATTGCCGCCGGGGATGGCATGTACGTACATGCCATGCCCACTGTGAGTTGACTTGTTCGATTGTTTTTACACATAGATGGCTACACTTGTACTAAGTATCCAATGAGACAATTACAGTACTGCCAGTCTCGCCCATTCACCCTTTTCATCAATTTACGAAAATATTTAACGTTATCCAAATTTGCTGTTAAAAATAACACCATCTATATTTATAGCACTAGTAAAAATACGTTATTTCCCGCCAATTCAAGGAAAGGTGAAATCAGGACTAGCAGAGCCATCTATGTAAAAAGACATTTCACAAAAATATAAAAAATGAGTACAGCATTTTCCCCATTTTTTGTTCATTTTCCCCGGCGGCAATGGGTTAATATAGCCAAAAATGAGTGTGATATGACTGAAATGGGGTAATGTATTGCTTTGCAGATAGTCTAATCAGTTTTTCTTTCTCATTTATGTTTGAGACACATTTTAACAGCAGGTACATTATTTCATTTAATATTTTGAAGCCTAAGATTATTTATTTATTATAATACTAAAATATATCACTATGTATAATTCATATCACAAAGAAATGGAGCTGGTATTACAGAATCAGTAATGACACTCCATCATCATCACATACTCTTTAATCACCATGTTGAAAATGTTGCAGGCGCTGGAACAGAAATTGTACAAGTTACAAGAAGAATTAACTGACCTCCACAGACGAAAGGGTGAAAATGCCCAGCAGCTGGTGGAGTTAAACCAGTGCCTTCAGGAACGTGACAAATTACTGGCAACCAAAGAAAATAAGTAAGACTGAGTTATAATTTTTGTTACATTTAGATTGTACTGAACCATCAACTTGTACCAGCAGATTACTGCGTTTGCTAGAATGAA